CACAGGTAGCTCTTTGTTATAACACGGTATTTTACAATCCGGTTACGCTCTAACACGAAAAGAAAAATACGCGAAAGCCCTCTTATATATAACACGCTACTTCTACAGCACGATAGTGAGATTTTTGTTAAAAATTATTTATGAAATTAAATTATGGACTACGATCACCGAATATATGGGAATAACAGAAATTTTCCTGCTTATTTTTCATGTATCATAGCATAATAGGTAAACAAACACGTAAAGCCATAGTTGAGATTCGATAGGCAGCGGCTTGGCTCTGCCCCTGGCATTGCTGAAGTCCACGGGCGACGGTAACCACTCACCATCAGGTGGGCCGTATGCTCGTCTGCCTACAAGGGCAAAAAAAAAGATGTTTGATTCGGGAAAAATACTATCCTTTTTGTACTGGCTTCTTTCTAGTCCCATATAACTCGATTTCGTACAACACGGGACTTTTTAGGAACGTATCTACCGTGTTATAAGTGGGTTATCTATATTTTATTTGATCATATTTAAAACTGCCTTTTAATAATTTTATCGTTTCATTTCGCATATTCTAGAAAGTTCTGGATTAGTCTAGATAAAACGTTCATTTCCTTCGCGTTGTTTCATGAGCGTTGTGATATGTTTTTTCTCCGAATGACGTTTTCGGAAAGTAGTTAGCGGTAGTCAGTGACTTCACTGTGGACAACAATTCTGACGTCTGTAAGCGATGGTAACCACTCACCCACATGTACCAATTAAAATACCATGAATACCAGCCAATTGTAGGCCAACAATCGGATCTTTATTGAGATATGAGGTGAAGATGATTGATTAAATAAGACAGTGAAGACCAGATTGTCCAGTTCCATTGCCGGTTTCATATCTTGGGTAATTAAGCTGCCCTAGTAGACCCCTAGGAGTGGCACAATTATTACTAGTGGTAAGACCTCTTATGAGTCCGCACCGGTAGTACCACCACTCTGCATATTTCTGCCGTGAAGCAATAATGCGTTTGGGTTTGAAGGGTAGGGCAGCCGTTGTAACTATACTGAGACCTTATAACTCATATCTCAAGGTGGGTGGCGCATTTACGTTGTAGATGTCTATGGTCTCCGGTAACCACTTAACACCAGGTAAGTTGTGAGCTCGCCCACCGATCAACGTGTTAAAAAAAATAAAAAATGATTGGAGAACTACAAAAAGCATCGCATGACTTTTCTAAGGATGTTCACTGCAACAAAGCTTTTCGGAGCTATCACCATGAAATCAGCGAAACATGAACTTAAAGATTCTTCTTTAAGAACACTAATGAAGAATTTTTGATAAAATTTTATTTTTAAGTTAGATATATCGTCATTTCGCATTAAAAGTGTACAATTTCCAAAAATATTCGAAATTGAGTTGATATGCGGAATCATTTGGTATCACCAGTATTTTTCTCATAAATACTGTCAAAAGAGCGTAGTTTAGTTTTAGTTTTTTTTTTAAATTAGGTACCTATGTTTTGACGACTATTAAGAAAATTAATAGATAATTTTATCTTACTTTAAAAGACAGATAATGTAACTGGTAAAAGATAAAAAATAAACGTTGCAAAGATGATTAATATTAAAAACTAGCGACCCGCCCTCGCTTCGCTTCGGAAACATTAAATTTTATTATTGATAGCCGAGTCCCGCGATGTTATGTCCCGTCATACCGCGGGTGACGCCGCGGGGCGAAGCTAGTCTAAAAAGTAAAGCCTAAGTTCCAGCCGTTCCAGAGATTAACCGGAACAAACAAACAGACAGACAAGACAGACAAAACTTGTAAAATGTTATTTTGGTGTATGTACCGTATATATATTCATATGCATGTAGCAAAAAGAGGCTATTTCAATATAACAAACAGACACTCCAATTTTATTTATATGTATAGATATCACATGTTAAACCTATAAAACACTCTCCTGTAAAATTTGTAAGTTTTGAGATTATACAGTTTTAATGCGAGAAGACGATATATCGAACACGCTTAGACGATATCCGACATGTTGTTTTAAAAGCGCCAAATTACATAACGCACTTGTCGGTATGTGTGTAATCATTATTTTTTTCAATCGTATGGCCGTTGACTTGCATAGGGTTCAGTGCACGATGATTGTAACCTCGCTCCGGGATGTAGGACGCTGGTATGACAACAAGATCTACATGCTGTAGATTAAAAATATTCGTAATAGGTATATTTTTATATTTTTAAATAAACTTTAAATAAAGTTTTAAGTTAAAAATTTTAAATAAACTTTAAATTTTAAAGTTTAGTTTAAAAGTTTCAATAAATTTTAAATAAAGTTTATGATAAATTAATTAAAACTAGAGGTCCAGCAGTAGTCGAAATTCGACTATAAATAATTGTAATTGTAAGTTTGTACACTATTATGATTGTGTTTTATACTTCTATAATCACAAATTTCGCCAAGGCTACACTATAAAAAAATATTAATAAAGACAAACAATATTTAATCTATTCTCAATTTCACCACAGACGTCAAGAACAAAAGTTTGACAATAAATAGTATGCATGCGTGTGTGCGTCAAATACATGGTATGTAGTGTGTGTAATGTTTTCTTTATTGATTTAATGTATCTTTTATGCATTATTTTAAAAAAGTATTAGCATTGGGCACTTCTTTTCTATTTTGTCTATAGGTGTGAAAAATTTCATACTCCTCCGTCCGCGCAATTTTCGTAAAAAGGGATACAAAGTTTTTGCTTCACGTATTAATATATAGATAAACGAATCCTGAAGACATTGTCGTGTCTAAATTTTATTGTATCTATAGTATACTGATTCTGTCAAATTTTGAATATTTTTTTTTTATTGCCCGTGTAGGCATACGAGCATAAGGTCCACGTGATGGTGAATGGTTACCGCCGCCCACGGACATCAGCAATGCCAAGGGCATAGTCAAGCCGTTGCTTACCACGACCGCCGAATTTTGCAATTCATCGCATTACATTTTAATTTTACAGTTTAGATCATTACGAACATTGTTAAAAAATATAGAAATCGTTACGGCGCCTTGTCAAATGATTCACTCACGAATATAATTCGATTATAATCATATGATTGATGCAATCGAAATGTTAAAGGTAACTAGTAATTCGCTTGTAATTAATTATTAAATAATTATATGATTTTATAGGGTTTCATCATCAGTAATCATTGGATTAACTAAAACCTTGACATTACTGATGCGACGGTACCTTAGCTTAAATAAAATATGTTTATTTATAAATTAAAAATAACTAGCAGCGGAATAGAGGTAGATGCTCAAATCACTAGAAATTTCAATTTTTTTCTTTATTTTGAGGCGCGTTTTGGAAATGGAATAATTTATTTTCACGTTCAACAAAGCATGTAAAATGATTGTTTCGTTGATGATATATTTTTTAAAAACCATCCAAGTTAATAGTTTTAGAGGCTTTCGCACGTTTTTTTTATTTCATACTAGCTGACCCGACAGACTTCGTAGTGCCTCAATCGTTAAATAAAAAACCGTAAAATTTTTGTATAAAAAAAACTTAAAACAAACAAAAGGAATCCGTCCGACAGGGGACACATCAAAGGGAAAACAAAATTGTTATCATTTTCATATTTGTCTACCTTTTAAACCTTCTCTGGACTTCTACAAATAATTCAAGACTAAAATTAGCCAAATCGGTCCAGCCGTTCTCGAGTTTTAGGGAGACTAACGAACAGCAATTCATTTTTATATATATAGATAGATAGATGTTCCGGGTACAATAAATGGTCCTTATTATTTCGATTATATGAATGCGGTTTCGCAACACCCCGTATTCGCGAAGTCGGAAGAAAGTCCTCTTCCTTATTGTGTCAGACAATATAAAATATGCAAACGCTCAATCATATCATTAATCAAATAAACACGTCATACACTTCGATAAACTGGGTTAAGCTGCACTTAGGGTGGTAGCTGGAATGGTGTAACGTGTAAATGAACATATTCCTGTTGCTCTTGATGGGTGGATTAAATCATGGCCCATTTTGGCTAAATTGGTTATCTATGATAATGCTGTGAGATATGTTGTCGAAATGGAACTTTTTTTTATTGCTTAGATGGGTGAACGACCTCACGACCCACCTGCTGTTAAGTGGTTACTGGAGCCCATAGACATCTATAACGTAAATGCGCCACCTACCTTGAGATATAAGTTCTAAGGTCTCAGTATACTTACAACGGCTGTCCTACCTTTCAAATCGAAGCGCATTACTACTTCATGGCAGGAATAGGCAGGGAGATAGTACCTACCCGTGCGGACTCACAAAACGTCTCTCTCTCTCTTCGATCGGTTCCTCACAGCTGAGGATCGTGACTCCGTTCGATTTCGTCAACCAACTGTCTCCATCGATCCCGCCCTGCAGCCCGGTGGAGTGCGTCGCTGATAGGCATCCCCAGTTCCTCCGCTATTTGGTCCGACCATCGTTTGGGACCTCTATTAAGTCTACCCCCAGTATTAAGTTAATCATCGTCTTGAAGTTTGTGAAAATTACGTTTATAGATTCCGTTAAATACAGTTAGATAAGCTGACAAAAACATCGCATAAGTATCTGTGATAATGTGTCGTCTCCTAGTTAGCCTGTCGCGCAATAAAAATGGTCTTTTGGGAGGGTTATTAGTACATCGTTTCCAGAGATAATTTTGGCTACATTCATTTGGCGGAATAAGTCAACTTTCATCATCTTTTCTAAGCGTTGAACGTGTCCTTCTGTAACCTCTTGCCGTTCTAAGACTAATGTGAGACTTAAGGATAATATGTCTAATGCGTGTAGAGTCTGGACCTCAAAGGGTTAGATTATGGAGATTATGGAGAATCCTGGCAGGTAGACAAGAACATGATTAGGTCCCTTTCGTTCGCCAAGGTTTAAGCAACCGTAACAACTCCTCGTCAGATACGTTTTTATCATTCTCCTTTGTATATATCCATAATATCCATAATAATAGAACTTACCTAATAAACTAAGGCTAGCTATCCAACTCGCTTGCTGGTCGCTAACCGAGAAGGCATCGTGTATCCTTGTATCCTGCATCGACGCCAATGCTGGGGACATGTAGCCCTTACTGAGACCCGCTGCGAACGGCCCAAGGGACACAGCAAGAGCCGCCAGGATCTGAGAGAAAACAAATTTGATTTCGTTATGCTGACTTTATGCTGACCTTATGCTGACAGTATGCTGACGTTATGCTGACTAACTAACCCTGTAATGAGTTGGAGTTCGACCTATCCTCCGTAAAACAGTTTTAAGGATGGGGCAGCCGTTGTACTGTAAAAACTGTGACCTTAGAAGTAATGTCCCAGTGGGTGGGCGGTATTTACATTATTTACATCATTCTACGGGCTCCGATAACCACTTAACACCAGGCGGGCCGTGAGCTCATCTACCCGTCTATGAAATTAAAAAATCTTACGTTACGGACGTTTTTTCCCGGTTAGAGTACCCCTCAACATCGTCCCATAAGGAACTTCGTTCCAAAAAATATATAAAAAAATACATATAATATTATTATATTAAATGTAGAAATCGAACGCACCAGTCCCACAATTGGCCCCACCAATGGGGCAGGAGTATTAACTACGCCACCGAATCAGTCATTCTGTTATTATTGTCACTTACCCATTAGTCTAATTAAGGTATGTATATGTTGGACCTCTTTAAATAATATTTAATTAAATAAATATTTGATTATTATTTCGATTTGACTACGAGTGCTTTAAGAATTAATAATTTAGACATGATTAAATCACACTTTGTAATCAGCTTACTGATGGATATCTGCAAAATTTTGATTTCGTGAAAGTCACTGACAGAAGCAAAAATTCACACTTCATCTGTCATGTTATGAATAGTTTTGATACAAGCTTAATTTATAAGCAATAATAATGGTTATGCTCATAAAAATAATGATTGTTTTACATTAAGATTACAGTTCCATGAGTTAGGATTTTAATCCAAGATGCAATTTTAGTCTTTAGGCTTTATATAAATAGGGTCAGTTTCGTTTGAAGATATCGGTCGGTTAGTTAGGGACCTGTATGTATGGCAGTGTGTCGGCCGTCGACCTCCGTTCGGTACAATCTATCGCAGTGCCTTCGGATTTAACTATTAGGGATGTGACGAATGCAACATCCGTTTATCGATATTGTTATCGATGTTTTTGGGGTGTCGCATAGTGGTTGCGATTAGATAAGGCAACGGAAATGCGTTAATGTTTTGCTGGAGGGATGAAAGATTTTTAAGCTATTTATTGCATAGCTTTTATCACGGGCCTTGAGCGCGGCGACCGAATCATGAAATTCCGTAACGAAAAAAACCTAACACTCCTCACTCCGCCTACCATGTAGCTCGCGTTCAACACATTCACACGTTGCGCTTGTGTAGTGTTTGTGAATAAGCGCGTGGCGTGACGTCACACTGCATGCGCATCATGAAAAGTCTGCCCATCTCTCTCTCGCGCGGTCTAGCTTATGAGTGTGAAGGGGACAGTTAAGGTTTTGCTTTTATTAATGTTTAATATAGCGTGGTCTTGTTTTAATATTAAATTATTATTGTCTAATTATAATTGCATAAGTTGATAAAAAATGCTATGCAATAGCTTTACCGCAGCAGTTCCCGAGTGCTACACGTTTTTTTCGTTTTGAAAAGGTAATTCGGTTTTCGATTACGAGCAGCCTTAAAGGTTTTCAGGTCATTTAATGGTGTCTGGAATTATGTCAGAATGAAAATTTGGCTTATGTGTTTCTGACATTATTACATACAAAAAAAAATGTATAAGGACGCAGTCAAATTGTCATTCTAGTTTTCGTGCGAGTCCAAATTTACGAGGAGGATGGCCAAATAGAAATACCGGAAAAGGTATGAGATGTTGAAAAAAGTAATTGAATTTTGATAACCTAAGCTTTTGTATATTTTTTAGTAATATGAGAAAAAACTCCTTATTCGATGAGTGGGACAAACGTATAAGACAAATAAAGGTTTCAGGGTGAGGATATCCCATGAAAATTCTGTTCATCGTCATCTTAGGCCTTACAGCCTAGGGCGTTAGCCTGGTCCATTGTCTCTCGAGACTGCTCTATTCAGGGCTTTCTCCTTCCAGTTCCTGACACCGATAAATTGTGTTCGCCGACTCCGTTATCTACTTAATACTAGATGGGCCAACTACATGTGCAACATAAAACAAAATAAAGTCATTTTAATGCAATCGTAATATCGACCATTTATTTTAAAGAAATTTGACCGTGTCTGTCTGGTGACCCTAATCACCATTTCCGGGTTCGATTCCCGGTCGGAACGCGGTATCGTTGTAAAAATATACTTGGTATGTAGTTTTGTTTCGATTTTTGTGTCGCATCTTCGTTTTATTTATTTTTATTGCTTAGATAGGTGGACGATCTCACAGCCTATCTGGTGTTAAGTGGTAACTGGAGCCCATAGACCTTGAAGAGTCGATCGAGAGAAGATCCGGCGAGAAACTCAGTGGGCTGTGTCTGTGGGTTAATTCGCTGGACGGTGACCGGTGCTTGTGGTACCTAAAAGCATCGTTAATGGATCGGGAAGATCCGTAATGGCGTGTTTTGGACGTCGACTATTTACCATTCTGTCTACAGGATCAGGTATGATTGCCTTTAAGCAGTTACACTTGAGTCTTCGAGCTTACATCGTCGGCATTCACGTTGTGAATTCTATAGGCTTCGGTTACAACTTAATATCAGATGTGTTAGTTAATTGCTTAACCTTATGTACTATCACTACATATTATAAAACAAAGTCGCTTTCTCTGTCCCTATATCCCTATGTATGCTTTAATCTTTAAAACTAAAGACCGATCCAACGGATTTTGATGCGTATTTTTTTTAATAGATAGAGTGATTGAAGAGGAAGGTTTATATGTATAATAACATCCATTAAATAGTGGAGAAATCAATACTAAATTACAGTTTCCGAAGCGAAGCGAGGGCGGGTCGCTAGTTAAAAATAAGTTAAGTAATGACTGTCGATTAATATAAACGACACACACAGATCGAGAAGTAGAAAAAAAATGGAACACCCACAAACGTTCACATTAAATATAAAATCGATTATCAATCATGATCATTCGTTGCGATTCACAATGGACATATTAATGTCCGACCGTTAATCAAATCATACGAAATCGGATCAAAGTCATAAATTAATACGTTTATTTCACTAATAACTATCTCCGAATAAATTTCACGAATCAATTGGGAAAATCGATAAATCACGATTGCAACACTACCTGTACTGCTATTGGGTGCTGGGCGTACTAATTTATATATATTTTTAGTTCCGTCCGCGTGAACGACGAGTGTTCGTAACGTAATTAATTTATCGATATCGATAAAAACTTTTTTATTCATATTTAATGTTCGAGATGTGTTATTGTTAAAACGAAATAGGCTGAATGGTGATATCTGGGCGGGAGCAGATTAAGTTCGATCATTACGTTGGTTTTATATTTTAAGCTTTTAAGGACTTTACTGCAAGAGGATTTCAATCCTCGTAACCCTACTGAGTTTCTCGCCAAAACTTCTCAGTGGGTCGCTTATCCGATCCGGTGGTAGATTCTGCGAAGCACTCTCTTGCTAGGGCTAGTGTTAGCAACGTCCTCTGGTCAGAGCTTAGTGAGCTCACCTACTCGCCTGGTTACGCTGACATAACTATATAGGTTAGCAGCATAAGTAGGAAAAAAAAAACGGTATGGTTTGGCCTCATTTCTTAAGGTAAACGATTCCTGCTACCGCCACTATTGATCCTTGACCAGTCTCGCTGGCCAATGTGCAGGCATTTTTCTGGACCTAATTGATGAAAGAGCTCCCGGTTCATCTGGTTTTAAGTGACTTTCGCAGCCTCTGTAACCCCAGTAGTTACGCGAATAATCCACCCTTCTAGCTGGAACACATGACGTCAGTAGAAACAGGCAGAGTCGTGGTAGTTTACTACTCGGGATCACACAATAGTTACAACCCGTCCTACCACTAGTAACTACCCAAATTTATATTCCTATCATCATTCTCCTGTCCTTGTCCCAGTCACCTGGGGTCGGCGCAACATATCTTTTCCTTTCATACCACTCTACCATATACTATTACTTCGTTCTCTTCGCTCATATTCCTATGGGTTTGTTAAATAAAGACATGAGTGGATGAAGGGGACATGATACAATTTGTTAATTTTGAGAAAACGGGCAGCAAGCTTTTGTTACTTATTTTTGAGATATTATGCGTTGGTGGCTGTTATTTTTGTTATTTATTGAAATTATAGTATTTTCATTTCTTTACCAATATGGAGGATATTATTGTTTGGAATCTTTTAAAATTAGAGAATACTTAAGTGCCCATGTCACTTTCATTCAACGTGGTAATATTTTTTCTTCATAGACAACGCCCTCATCACATGCAATTTCTAAAAATAGCTTTTAAGCCCAGAGTTTTAAGGTCTAATATAGTTTAAAATGACATAACACCTACATTCAATGTAAAAACTAAAAAAAAACAAACGTGTGGCACTCGGGAACTGCCGCGGTAAAGCTATTGCATACCATTTTTTATCAACTTATGCAATTATAATTAGACAATGATAAGTTGATATTAAAATAATAATAATAAAACAAGACCACGCTATATTAAACATTAATAAAAGCAAAACCCTAACTGTCACCTTCACACTCATAAGCTAGACCGCGCGAGAGAGAGAGATGGGCACACTTTTCATGATGCGCATGCAGTGTGACGTCACGCCACGCGCTTTTTCGCAAACACTACACAAGCGCAACGTGTAAATGTCTTGAACGCGAGCTACATGTTTGGCGGAGTGAGGGGTATTAGGTTTTTTTCGTTACGGAATTTCATGATTCGGTCGCTGCGCTCAAGGCCCGCGATAAAAGCTATGCAATAGCTTAAAACTCATCCACTCATGTCTTCAAATAACGTGACTTAATATTTAATTTTAATACTTGTCACATCACTATCAGTCCATTCAGACTACAGCGCTCGGAACATTGATCGATCTAATAGCGACAGAACTGTTATACGTCTTATATCATTAGGCCTATATTTTGATTTCGTGCAGTTACAAAATGCCGTATTTTCAACATGAATTAACGGATACGTAAGCAATAAAACCCACTGAAGAATCTTTAGTGTTGACTTAGAAGACGAACATCGAAGGTTTGCCATTGAAAATATGACCACAGAAATCCCTACCAATAGTAACTACGCCAATCTATAAATTCATCGACTTTCATTTTTATCACGCAATGTTGCACCTTCACAGTGAAGCAGTTCATATACACGTCATAGGCGCCTATTTCCTTAAAGAAATTGGTACCTGCTCGTGAGATCTGAACTTAGTCACGACACTCGATACGAGTATAATTTAGATAACGAACTTATCTATTACTGGTGGTAGGACCTCTTGTGAGTCCGCAAGGCTAGGTACCACCACCCTGCCTATTTCTGCCGTGAAGCAGTAATGAGTTTCGGTTTGACGGGTGGGGCAGCTAGTGTAACTATACTGAGATCTTAGAACTTTAACTCAAGGTGGGTGGCACATTTACGTTGTAGATTTCTATGGGCTCCAGTAACTGTAACACCAGGTGGGCTATGAGCTCGTCTACCCATTTAAGCATTTATAAGACAAAATTTAGTCCCCCAAACATGTTGGCTCGGTGATACATTTCAGACTCATAAGTAAGATCATTCTCTATCTACTTCAGCTAAGCGACGTTTCAAATTGAAGCCAATTTTTGTTTCTAAAGCCCCGAGGCTTAATTCTAATGGCAGACTAGTCAAGCCAGGTTCGTTTAGATTTAGATTAGATCTTTAATTAGACATTGACACGTTCGCTGCCAAACTTTACGGACTCACGTCTCAAAAAATGCCTTGAAATCGGTTCTGCCATTTCGGATTCTATCGTTTTTCGCCGGATCTTCTTAGTAGGTCGCATTTCCGATCCGGTCGTAGATTCTGCAAAGCACTGCTCTTTCTGAGAGAAACCGAGGATCGTGCTCAGTGGCGAACAATTGGAGAGGCCTATGTCCAGCAGTGGACTGCTATAGGCTGATGATGATGACTGCTCTTTCTAGGGCCAGTGCTAGCAACACTTCCACTTTGAGCCCCGTGAGCTCACCGACTCGCTAGGCTGAAATAGCCTCTAAAGGCTATCAGCATAGGTAGGATAAAAAAAGATCGTACCAAACTAATGACCGTCTCCGACATATAGTATGATATAACTGAATGATCTTTTCGTAAAACAATATCAGTTTTTTTTTCTGCAGTTTTATGTTTTCTTCTTCTATCTACCTTATTAGTCTTCTATCTTATTAGTAAATCATTTTTGTATCGAGATATTGTATCGTGTAAACGTTATGTTATGATCGAAAAAATATCCTAGGTTGCTGCCTTAAGCAGTTTTGTCGCGAAGATTGCTTCCGCGAAAGTTCTAGAACTCATTCGATCCTCAATTAAGGCCCTAAGATTCCTCTATTAGCTTAATGAAGATGCATGTGATGTAAACTGATCCCCAATTGATTCTTAGATCTCGATACTGTTTCCCGAATGGATTGAGCGTTGTAACGTGTTTCGTCTGTACGACAGTGAGATCGTGGTACATCTGCAAGTGTTGCGATCTCGCCATTCGTACAGGGCTAATTCTGCCGAAAAACAATATGGTGTTCCGGTTTCAAGGTTGGGACAATTAGAAGATGGAGCACCACTATATACCAGGCCGGTTCTGGGGCTAACTTACGCTGACTAGGTATTTTTAAAACCTATTTATTACTCTTTTGTATGTTTGTTTGCATGTAACGCAATCTTGTGATCTTTGAACGTCATTTTCATCGACCTCAAGACGTCCGATTATCTTGAAAATTTGCATCAAGAACCAATGACGAAACAACTTTTTTTTTAGGGATTTTATGAACTGGTAACTAAGACCTTTAGGTCAAGTCTTATTTTAATTTATACTCTTAGTTTTATGAAAAATGATAATATGGAGTAAAATGAAATAAATGTTATTAATTTGAGACATTAATCAACTGAGATGAAATTTAATGAAATGAGATGAGATGATATAGAATGAAATATAATCTCAGTAAAATGGTGATTGATTAATTGAGACTTTTTCAGTGGGCTTTTTGGAGGATCTCGAGAAGCTACGTCCAGCGGCTATGTTTCGTTTTTTCACATTTGTGCAATTTCACTGATATTAAACAGTTAATAAACCACCGTTATTACACATTAAAACCTGAAGAAACACTAAATAAACAAAATAAAACAAGCCACACAACTTCACTTCTCGGGTTCCCGCTAAAAAGTCCTAACAAAACAATAATTTTATAACTCCACCCATAAGATCGTGACCAGTATCAAAATAATAATAAAAGATGTAATTAATTGTTAGTGTGGCTACTGTTTGACTATGTTTTTTAGATTTTATAACCTAAGTTGTTATTTAGATATTTAAAATCAATTCTCGATTTGGCCTGACGATCTGGTCAAAGTGGTTGGTAGGGACTGGACGCAAAAGGCAAGAGACCGAAAAGAATGGGGTGCTTTTGAAAAGTCCTGCACTCGGCTTTGGGTGGACAAGGGTTGAAGAAGACAATTATCGATTTTTAACCAATAAACATACTGGTTGACTTAGCTCTCATATTGAAAAAGGTCAAGGCTCTGTCCTGTCTAGACCAATAGGGAATTTTCATACCGACCTGACGCATGTACCGGTTCCTTCCATCCGGCGACCTGATCATCATGATCCTCGTCTCCGGAGTGATATTCGTCATCTTCTCGCTGACAGGATTATTCTCGCACATGTGAAAGCTTTAATTGAGTAACTTTCGAATGGGTTTTTTGAAGCGCCGTGCGGTTTTACGATGTTTTGTTTTAATCTGGAACAAAAAATACCGAAATAAATAAGATGTACATTGTGTTTAGGTCTATCGAATCCGGGCCACGTTTTAGTGTTAATGGGTCCATTTGTTGTGATATGGCTTTTGCTGTACGTTGGCGGTTATTTAATTCCTACCTATGCTGATAGCCTTGAGAGGCTATTTCAGTCTCGCCCTAGCATGTAGGTGAGCTTACGGAGCTCAAACCGGAGTGCTGCTAACACAGGCCCTAGCGAGAGCAGTGCTTCGCAGAATCTGCCGCCGGATCGGAAACGCGACCCACTGAGAAGATCCGGCGAGAAACTCAGTGGGCTGTGTCTATGGGTTAATTCGCTCGTCGAGCCCTTCGTCGCAAGCGACGGGTTCGACGAGGACGGTGACCGGTGCTGGTGGTATCTAAAAGCACCGTTAATGGATTAGGAGGATCCGTAATGACCGAGTGTTTTGAAGGTGGTATTAAGAACTATCTTTGTCTTCTAATTATATACCTAACTCAGACAATGGGGCAACTCAAAGCCGCCGGCGCCCTAAAATCATTCTATCAGATCTTCTCATTGGCTAGCGATTCTGGTCCTGTGGTAGACAAGGTAAAGCACTGCTTTTGTTTGAGCCGGTGCTAGAAAATTCTCTCAGGTTAAGTTCCGTAAGCTCATCTACTAAGCCGTACGTAGTTGGAGTAGCCCATTAGGCTACTAAAACTCCTTGGGCCCGCTGTCTACTCCCAACATCAGCAGATCCTCAAGTCCCACATACACCGCGCGTCCCCTTAGATGTGGGGACCTCGTAGGAAGTTCGGCCAGTTCTCTAATGCCACTCGTCTAGCAACGTGTAAATAGTTATTTTCAGAAACATCTCAGAAGTGTTGATATTAGCACTATATTAACCCGCCTATAATAGTTACTTAATCAAAATAAAATCAGAATAGTTTATTAGTCCAAAGCGTGCTATTACAGAATAAACTCACTCTCTGTACTCCATTCGATAGGAAATTTCATATAATTTTTTGTAACAGCCTTTTTTTTTTGGTCATGAGGAAATCGCCGGATTCCCGCCCTCCACTGGGGATGGAGGGTGGGGCATGTCGGAGTTGATCCGACTTAAACCTCATGTCGCTCAACAACCAGCATCCAAACCTCGCATGAGACAGAACTCATGAAAAGGCAAAGGGGGGAAAGTGAAGCGTTTAGTGCGGAGCACATCTCTCCCATCACCCTCCCCTCGGGACGCCGGACTGGCGGTCGTCGGCGCCACGACCACCAGTCCTCTGGGTATTGTAACAGCCTACCTTGAAATCACAGAAGCCTAAGATGTTTAAATACCTCAGGCAACTACTAATTCTTTTTCAATGAAGCATATATTCACGAATGACTTCCTAGATGACGATAATAGTGGTGTAACGAAAATCCAATGGGGCATTGCGTAATAGTGGCATCTTGTGAGCCTCGCAAGCACAGCACTGGTCCACGATGAAGGAATACCACCGCCCTGCCTATTTCTGCCGTGAAGCAGTAATGCGTTTCGGTTTGAAGGGTGGGGCAGCCGTTGTAACTATACTGAGATCTTAGAACTTATATATCAAGGTGGGTGGCGTATTTACGTTGTAGATGTCTATGGGTTCCGGTAACCACTTGACGCCAGGTGGGCCGTTAGCTCGTCCACCTATCTAAGCAATAAATAAATAAAAAGTACAACTGCATCTCTACGACGAAGCATTCCGATTTGAAGGATCCGGCAGCCGTCATCATTGTCCAATTTATTGTTGTTTTTTTTTATGATTGAAATATTCACCAGGACAGCAGGACAGGTGGGCGAGCAAAGGCTCAGCCAGGAGGGGTGGGTTCGTTGTGATGTGTATGATAACCATATACCCCAGATTACAAGCCGTTCTTTCCTGTCTATGCAATAGGAAAAAAACGATCATCTCTCATGTACAATTTATAATACATTTATCACGGACGCACGGTTAAACTCATAATTCATCAGCCGTCGCTGCTCCGGTTCGCTTATCAACTGAATTATATCAAGTGCTCATTTCAGTGACGGGTGATATTAAATTAATAAACAAAAAAAAAAGTGTGTGTGTGTGCAAGTCACACACAGTAGAAGTGACACTTATAAATAAGATATAGATATACTGGCAATCCCACAGAAGCATACATATGGACAATGTTTAGTAGACGATAGTGGGGATGCTACGAAGAGTCGCACAAAGAGGAGACCGAGAACGTCTAATGTGTTCTATCTCATTCTCTCGCCGGCTGAATCCTATACATTTACGTGTTTGTGTCTCTATGGACTTCTTTTTTCGTTTCATCGAGTTTGAAATCACAACGATTCTAAAGAAGTTTCACTTCAAAAATAACATTGTGCACAAATTATCACTGATGACACTTTGGGCGCACTTTGACAAATGCATCTAGTGTAATACTAACTGATCTGGAGACCAGTTGAGTAGCAGAGTAAATGGATATCAGAATTAAAGCTAAGCTTTAAATCACAAATATTGAAACTCTGACACCGGATTCGAGGGCAAACCGCTGCCTACCGTTAAGTACTCTCCACAAGCCTCGTTTGAAGAAGGATATGTCATAGCGCTCAGGAAACACCGTGGAGGGGAGCTCATTCCAAAGCCGGATGGTACGTGACAAAAAAATCTCTGGAAACGCACTGTGGATGAACGCAGTGGCTCCAGGTAGTATGGATGAACTCTACTCCGGTGGCAGGTGGTGCGATGGTAAAAACGATTATTATAATTATTATCACACAAAATTTACGGAAGGTTTTCTAAATTACTTAAATCGGCACGGCCAGAACTATAATAGGTCTACATTACTGATCTAAGATGTCGGACTTACTATTATATAGGTACTAATGTGTTGTTGGTTGTCAGATTCGGGTTTGTGCTTCGTGCGAACAATTAAAGGCGATAATCGCGTATCAATCAGGAATCCCTTTGTTGGCGCAAAACACTTAACACACTGTCTTCACAAAAGATTATCTTGAGAATTTCACATACGCTGTTCTTTGGCAAAAAAAAACTTAAGAAAATCACTATGTCAACTTCTAATGTTGGCATTGTTGATACAGACTGCCTTGGGTACTGGAAATAGACTATATTCAGTTTCAGGTTTTGCTTGCTGAGTTTTTGTAGCCAAAAAATAAAAATATATATAATATGTTTTTTGACTTTTTTAAAACATTTTAAGAGTGAATCAAGCTCCAAACACATAAAGTAACATGAAGACTAATGAAATTAAAATTAATCAATTGCGTTCATACACTTCAAAATGGAAAAACCTATTATAATGAGTCCTAACACCATTATATCTAATTTTCAGCAAAAATACGTAATATTAGGATAACTAATGACGAACAAACAAAGTTCAAAATATGTTCAGCGCGTCATGTCCAATTGATATTACTAGTGGTCCCGCAGAAGTCGAAATTCGAATATAATTAATTGGAATTGTAAGTTTGTACACTTTTATGATTGTATTTTATACTTCTATAATCACAAATTTCGCCAAGACTACACTATAAAAAATATTAACAAAGACAAACAATATTTAATGTATTCTCAATTTGACAACAGACGTCAAGAACAAAAGTTTGACAATAAATAGTATGCATGCGTGTGTGCGTCAAATACCTGGTATGTAGTGTGTGTAATGTTTTCTTTATTGATTTAATGTATCTTATAAGCATTCTTTAAAAAAAAAAAATTAGCATTGTGCACTTCTTCTCTATATTCTCTATAAGTGTGGAAAATTTCATACTCTTCCGTTCGCGCAATTTTCGTAAAAAGGGATACAAAGTTTTTGCTTCACGTATTAATATATAGATTGGCGTCCCACAGTGAACTAATTATATTGATGAGGTTATGAGAGAAAACGAATGCATTTTATTGTATGTTGATAATAAAGAAAACTGTTATAGAAGTTTAGTTTCTCAACGTTTGTGAACCAATTATTCAGAAAGCTTATGTGTATTTCTTTCTTTATGGTTTATGAATTAAAACATAATACTTATTGTAACTTTTTTGCCTATATCTTATAATATATCGTTCTTGATATGGCCATTATAATGCGTGCGTGTGGGGTAAAGATGTTTAACCATGGAAATAACAAATGCATTTATTTTATCAAACTACTAATAATAAATACAATTCCTCGTGTGGGGTTATTTTCAAAACAACTCTCACGAGAACACGTCACAGGAAAATGAAATGAAAAACAAAAGATATTTATACTAGTTCTAGGTTTTAACAACTTTGCCTATTTAAAGAGTCGGCCGGTATTGACGTATGATTTAAGGTATGTGTTACATTCAATGTTCGAAAAGATATGTTATCGCGTAGCTTGGCGGTTTATTTTGTTAACATTGTTTTTAAAACGCTTTTTGTGTGTCACGGCTATGTACCGGCGTCCGACTTTTTTCTACCGGGTAGTAACAATTCGTTCCACTTTCAAGAATACACTATGAAGGTAGAGGAAGGTGAAAGAATAAAATGGTATAATAAAAATCAAACCCGCAAAATTATAATTTTCGTAATTACTAGGTAGGACGTTTTGTGAGTCCGCACGGGTAGGTACCATCACCCTGCCTATTTCTGCCGTGAAACAGTAATGCGTTTCGGTTTGAAGGGTGGGGCAACCGTTGTAACTATACTGAGACCTTAGAACTCATATCTCAAGGTGAGTGGCGGCATTTACTTTATAGATGTCTATGGGCTTCAGTAATCATTTAACACCAGGCGGGTCGTGAATTCGTCCATCCATTTAAGCAATTATATATATTATTGTGTGGTAAGTAAACTGGTCAGAGAGTTATTCGGTCGTTAACTCTGCCCATGTAAGTACAAATCAGTTAGTGTAATAAAGTAAAAACTGTTATTTCGAATCTACCATGTGAGCGGTCTAAGCTATCACTCCATTAAAACAATTTAATGGGACGGTCTAATGTCTCTATTAGTGTATTGCGTTCATTAATGTGTGGTTAAC